AAAAGGTTAAAGAGGAAACTAGCAAAAAAAATAGATTAATTATACATTGTATTTTAGAAATGACTAATGAGAATGAAATTTGTGTTAAATTGAATAATAATAATTTTAAAAAAAAGTATATTGATTAATAAAAATAAACATTTAAATAAAAAGAAAACTATATAATCAACAAAATCATGAAATTAACTCTCGCTATGATGATTATTATGTTGTAAAATTTTTACTTAATCTTGGTTTCTATTTATATACCTTTGCCTTTTCCTTAATTTAAATAAGCTTTTCAGGTTCTCCTTAACTATATCTAAAATACTAAAATAAACTTTCTACTAATTTTATCTAATATGAAAAATAACTTTACTTCAAGATTAACTTTTTGTAATGAAGTTTTAGTATAATTAAACAAAGGAGATGGTTCTTCTAAATTCTTAAGTAGAAAACTTTAAAACTTAAGCAATTTGCCAAAATCAATGGACATTTTTAAATTATAAACAATTAATTTGCAAGTATCTTTAAATTTCCATGGAATTTATCCACAACTTTAATCAAAACTAGGGAGATCAATAACTGGTTAAATTGTATCTATAAATTTACAATTATGTGTTACCTGCAAATAAAAGCAATCCACTTCCTAGAACATCTTAAAACTGATAATTTACTTTTACATTTAAAAATTTTCCATTAATATTAATTACATAAAATTCTCCTTCACCCTAACTTTTTTCTTAGTAATCAATCAATAAATGGTTATCATTTGGTTAAAAAAATGAATCATCTTAAATGTCTGGAATCTTTAAATGTAATTTTTGTTTTTTTAAATGAAAATTCGCTTTATCGAATGTTACTATTATGAGGTTTGAACCAATTGATGAATCAGGTATTACAAATTAAGAATTTTCTATAGAGATCTTATAATTAAAATTATCCTTTTCTTTGATAAAATCTTCTTCTTTTTTAATTTGTAGTTATATATCAAAATCCTTCTAATACCTATCTTTCAATTCAAATAAGTTTTATTCTAAAATTTCTTCTATTCTTTATTTAAATGCTTCTAATTCTTTTATGTATCTTGAAATCAGATAAAATTTAACATTTTTAATTGATAATACCTTATTTTCTAATTTAAAAACAAAAAGTTATTAATTATCTATAGGTTCTATTAAATTTTAATATAAATATTATTCATTATTAATATTTTAAGGTTTTGCTTCAACTTATGATAAGGATAATTCTAAATTTGCTTGATTTCTTTTTTTCAATTAAATTTGATGAAATTAAAATTAAAAAAAGTCTTATTCTTATTCTTATAATTTAATTATTAATGAATCTATTAATAATTCAATAGAATATTTTTAGGATTTTTTAGAATTGCTAACATTTTTACTAAATAAGTTAATACTAACAGGTTTTTCTCTTTATTCATTAACGAATAATTCTTATTAAAAAATAAACTGTAATAAATGTTATTTCAAAGAGATTGATTCTTCAATATTAATTAAATAGAAACTATTAATAGCTATCAATAAATCTTAAATTTTTTATTAAGAAAGAATTAATTTGGCCTATTCTATTTAAAATTTTATAAGAGGATAAGAATTCTAGAATGATAATTACACATGTAATGCGTAAGAAGCTCTTTAAGTCCCTGTTTCTTTTCCAGGCATAATTAATAGATTTTCTTTTTATTTTCCAATAATACTGATTTATATATCATTAACTGATAAATATAGATCATCCTTTTATTTTGTTACATTAATTATTTTCACATCTATTTATGACACCTAATTAAAACTAAATTTAATAATATCACATCTTATTATTTAATTATCCTCATAAGAGTTAACAGATTGTCTATTTTTCTAGTATTATGCCCCTGAATTATTAATAGGATAACAACTTTATCTAATTTAATGAGAATTTCCTCTTATTTAACTAATTAAATGTATTTAATTGAAGGCTTTTAATTAACTTAATTTAAAGAAAGTTTCATTAGATTTTAAATATATATTCTAAATTACAGCACAAACAATTAAATCATCGAGATGTTTTAATGGATTTTGTTTTAATTTTAATTTGAATGTTTCTTGTTCTTACTTCATAAGATTTTTATTAATTAAATTATCAGTATTTTCTTAAATATTTTTGATTGTTAAAATATTTTTGATAATTGTGATAAGATTATAAGTGGCAAATTAATTACTAAATATGGCTTTGATTTTATCAACTGCAAAAAAAACTTTAATTTTTGAGTTTTTCTCTTTGTAATAATCTTCTATTACACAAGAAAGTAAATTAGATCTTATAGGTTTATGAAAATAATACAGTAAATAAATTGGACCCTTAAAATAATTATGAGAAAATATATTATCAGAATCTTACATTTAATCTTAATTATTATGTTGGACAAATTCATAATTAAACATTTCAATTTCTTTACTTCTACAATAAAACACAAATTTATCATCTAGCTTATCACTTAACAAATGGGATTCTTGTACTAATAGTGATGGTTGGAAAATAATATAAGTTGTATCAGGGTTTTATTCATTAATTTAATCTTAAGATAAAGATTAATATGGCATTTTTTGACCCATGTCTTTTAGAGATTTATTTCTCTCAAATGATGGATATTAACCAAGTTCCTTATCTAGTTTATATAAGCTACTCTAATGAGATATATCGCTATTTTAAGGAGTTTTTTAGCAATGAATAGCAATAGTATCTTTAAAATATCCTTTGTCTTTAGTGATGCTAAAGAATGGCATTTCAAAAATTGTAATATAACATGTACTATTATCGGATTTTGGAGTACTTATAAATTAGATTTAAATTCCATCAAGTCTTTTCTTATCCTTAAATGATTATTATTATTTGAGATTTAGATTATTCATCCTTCTTTATTGTTTTCTTTAAGTTATTTATTGATTTTCAAATTCAAGCAATGAGAATATATTAATCTCATCATTAATTTTTGGCATAATCCCAAAAATTATATTATTTAGGTAAAGACTCTTCTTATATTTGATAATACAATGTTTACAATCTTTCTTTTATTTTTTATGATCATTTAATAGTAATTATAATTCTGCTTTCATTAAACTATCTTTGCTCAAATTATATTTGACTTCTGAAAATTATTTTTTATTTCCCTTATCGATATACTTATTTAAAATCATTAATAACTCTATAAAGCAAATTTGAGAATCATTTATTTATAAATTTAAAGATGGAATTTGAATATATAGTTTCTTATCTGTCAATAAAGGGTGATTTTTAATTAAAGATGATAATTGAAATAAAATCAATTATGTTTTCAAAATTTAAGATTTAATTCCAGATATTTTTTTTTAATTCTTTATATTATTTTGACTTGCCAAGTTTGATTCAACTTGACCTTAATTTAAAGTTGCTGAATGTTTAATTTGATGTGATTATTATGACCCCTTTATGTTTGAAGTTTTATTTTATTAATTACATTAAGGAATATTATGTTGATCTTTTCCATTCTTAGAGGTTTATAATTTATTATCAGTATTGATCATCTCTTCATTATAATATTTATAATCTAAAGTGAAATATTTATGAGCTATTAAAATTTATTCGATCACAACTTTTTTTATGAAATAATATTTTTATTAGAGAATGAAAGTCTCCTTTTTTTGTTAAGAAAACTCTATGAAATCATTTTCATATTCTTTGTCATCTAAATTAACAGTTTTTAAAAGAAGATTTTTTATTTGAAACTTTAATTCTGTTTTAATTTTACTAGAAATAGATTCAGAAACTACTTTTACTTTTAATTTTCCATCCATCCTTAAAGAGACCTTCCATTAAGGCTATATTTAGGCCTCTTTATTTAAAGGTTTGCTTTTTACAATGCATTCTAGTAATTTGTGATCTTCTTTACATTATTTATATTTTGGAGACTTAAATATATCTTATTTTTTATTTTGCATAAAATACAATAAAGAAGAGATAGATTTTGTAGACAACAATGTAGAAAAAGGTTGCAATTAGATTATTATTTAACTAAATGGTAACTACTAAGAGGGAATAAAGCCTTCCTTCTATAATCCTTTCTTTTAATCACTCTTTGAGATAATTCTATATTCTGATTATACACCTTGTAAGGATAGACAAATTTGCAATGTGCAAAGTTCTTTTTCTTTTGTAAATAACATGCTTGGGAATGTCAATTTGTCCTTTAGATTATGAATGCAAATTGGAAGGAGTATTTCACCATATTCTTCTATAAAAGGAATAAACAAAACCCTTCTAATTATATCTACTATCTTGTTGTGGGCATTAGTTATAAATAGATTTTTATCATTATTCTCACACTACACCCAATTATTTTGTTTGTCTTTTTCAAAAGAAAATATTGCTGCGTTTCTTATGAATTCCCTTTTTTTTTCAGCAGAGTATTATCTGGATATGTGGATAAAACAAATATCTTCCTATTCTTTTCTATCGTCAAAATATTTATCATATATTTTAAATTACTCTGCTGTGAAATCTTAGAAATTATTTTTATCTCTTTCAAATTCATCTAAAAATTGTTTGATATTCGCCATTTAATTTTATTTTAAGAATTCTCCTAACAATTGATAGCAAAGTTCGCTATTTAAAAATTGTTATGAGTCATTAGTAATTGAAATCTCAAAAATTTCATTAAAGAAATCTGAATATTTAATATATGATTTTTTCTAATGAATATGAGATTTTTCTTTTTTTGAATTTTGTAATTGTTATTATTATTATTGCTATTATTATTTTTGTTATTATTATTATTATTATTATTATTATTATTATTATTATTATTATTAGGATGAATCTAGATACTTTAATGATGATATCTATTAGTTAATGTCAGCAAATAAAGGTGATTATTTGTTTGCTAAGGAATCCTTTTCATCCATAACTTTTAATAACATACCTGGAGCTAGGATTCTGATATCTCCAATATAAATTTTATCTAGTAGCTCTTTAGATTTATTAACTGAAGGTGTATATATTGCTCCATTTTAATAGATATTTAAAGGAATTTAAATACCAATAAAACTAATCATTAAAAGAAATTTTTGATGATATTGTTAATCATTTGCTTATTTTGATTCAGGACTACTAAGTATTTCGGAACTATTAAATGATTAAGAAATAAGCGATCCAACTCCATTTAAATCCTCAATATCTTCATAAAAACTATCTATTTAATTGATTGTGTGAAATGATTTCTCTTCACTTATTTTTTATGCATCCTCATAAACCTAATTAAAAGTATTTATATTAGATGATTTTCTTGATTTTTTTCTAGAATATGCTGCCTTTTTAAATTATTTAATATGATATTTACATTGGCAAAATTAGAATATCTTTGTATTAACAGGTGAATATTTAATATAATTACCAGTTCTAAATTCATATAATAATATGAAAATAGAATGTATGTCTAAAGTAAATTACATTTTAATTTAATCAGGATGATTATTTTCTCCTTTTAAATAACTTGATAAGACATTAGTTTTATCTCTTTCTAAAATCTCATATAAACTAATTTTTTCATCACTTTCTAATTCAATAGGTATATCATCATTTCTTTTAGTGTGATCTTTGAATGAATTTTGATTATTGATAGTATTTGTCCAGATTTCCAACAAAGGTTTAACACTTTAATTATTTTGACCATCTTTAGATGAATTATAATATCTTTTGGCCTCTATTCTAATTTCTTGAAATGCCCATTCCCTATATTTTAATAAGTCCTTTAAAGATAGATCTTCTTCACACTTAGATATTTTCGTTTCATCTTTTATAGTCCATGATGACAACCAAGGTACTAAAATAATGGTTTGCTTTCTTTTATACAATTCAATATATCTTTTCATTAAGACAAGCTTTTTAGATGAATAATTTAAGTCTAATTTTTTACTCTTCTGTTTAAGAATGACAGATTTTATGAAATATTTCCACCATTCCGAATAAGCATTCTTAATATCTTTGGCTGGCCTTAAATGAAAATTATCTTAAATCACTTCTTAATTTGATAGTGCTTCATTTAATTTAATTAAATAATCTTTTTATTCCTTATTCAACTGAATAATTATAGGAGATTTTATGAAAATTTATAAAATTTAGATTGGTTGAGTTATCTATTCATTGTTTCTGTTTTTGACATATTTGATTTCAATATCTATAGGATTAATGATCATTTATTCATCATTTTTTTAAAGTACAGTGAATGGATCATTTTTATAAGAGATGCTTAGCTTTCTTATTTCAATCAATTTATAAGTGCAATTAAGATCTCCATTGAATAATTATTTAAACTCTTTGTCTGTTGCCTTAATTGAGACATCAAATTTAATTCTTAAGATCGTTTCATAGCTAAATATTGAATGATTGAGAAATCTAAGATTAAACTACTTAATTGTTATTGTTAAATTATTGTAAATTCCATCTACTATTTTTTATATCCAATTAGGAGGAGATAGTTTTTCGAAATATTTTGCCATTTTTTCTTCCCATAATTTAAGTTTATGTTTCTTCAAATTGTCTATTTCTTGAGTCTATCGATCTTTGCTCTGTACAAATTTATTGGCCTCTTAAATTGTACATACAAGCAGATCAATTCCTTCTATGATCATTTCTGGTTGTTACTTTTTGTAATTTAAAGGCATCTTTAAATAGAATTGATGAAACTTACATTGAGAGTGATCTAATTTATTGTTCCATCTAAAATGTATAATGGAAATTTCAAATTTAGTAATGCTTATTTTTTAATGCACAAATTCTTTAGCACAATATTAGACGAAAAACCCAAAGAAAACTAAAAATATGGGTTACTTTACTTTAGCCATATTATTTTATGAGAAATCCTATAAATATTCTAAAAGATAAGATTAAAGTCTTTTGATAAAGTATTCTTCAATATCTTTTGCCATTTATGTTATTAATTTTAATCATAAAATAACGAATAAATGAATTAGATTCCTCTATTAATATAATAGAAAATGAAATTATTTAAATATTTTAACAAAAATCAATGAAATACTTGAAGGTATAATTTTACTATTGTTATTTAAAAAATTCTGATATTATTTAGATGAATTTTTAACATAATAATGTGTTGTATATCAATACCTCATTTTGGATAAAGAATATCATAATGTCCAGGTCTGTATAATAAGTTGATAAATATAGAATTTGGATTAGCGTCTTCTGGAATTTAGAATATAGTAGCATCAAAAGTGGCAACATTACCATCTAAATAGAAAATCCTAATAGGAATTTGCAAGTAGTTTTGCAATGCTATAATTTGAATCTTAATTAGATATTGTTTATTACTTAATCTGCTTCTCTATCGATGGGATCAACTTCTTATTAACAAAATAATTCTACTGTTCCAGTTTCTATGTATCCTTCAAATAAAAATGAATTGGCTTTGATATATCCAGATGTTAACATTCTCATGTACATAATAAGATAATCAGATGTGACTTTATTGCAAAATGCATCTACGATTCCCTAAACAGTAATGTTGTTTGGACATAATTTTATTTATTTCATAATTTCCTACATATACTTGCAGACTTACATCATAAAAATCATCAATAACAATTTATTCATACCCAACCGCTGTTAAGTCTGTCTTTGAATTTGCAATGATGGTGCTAAACTTATTTAATAGTTATTAATCTTTAAATTGAATGATTTATTCGAATATTCTAAACAGAACTGCTCTATAGAAGCAGCTACCATCTCTTCTCACTCTTCTAAAATATGGATAAGATTCACGGATTTTCTAGAAATTTTTCATAATCACTTACTTAAATTTTTTGAAGAAAACCTTAATTTTCTAAATATTCTGATTCTAATATTTACAATTCTATTGGTTAAGTAATAATGAATGGGTCTTAAGCTTCTATTTCATTTTTAATATTATCCAATTACTTTATATGTTACTCATATAATTCTTGATCGTATGCATATTGATTAGAAGATTATTAACTCATTATTATTTTTATTTATTATTTTGGCATAAATAACTATTTAAATCAATTTATGTAATTTTTTCATACTTTTCCTAAGACAAAATATGTCAGGAATCAACTGATTTGTTCAATTAATTCCTTTAAATATTGATTTATCAAAAGCAACTTCCCATTTTTATAATATTGATGGGAATACAAATATTATAAATTTGAATTACTTTATAAAAATGAAGACTTTCCTCCAATTACAAACTCATGATTAATTAACAGTTTGAATAGTTAAATTTTTCTACAACTAATTCTTTTCTAATACAAATCATATATTATAAATTTATTTATCAATAAAATGTTGTTATTGACAGATGATCCATTAACTTTAAGTCAATCAAAAATTGAATAGTTTGAACTCAAACTAACATTCGATATTTAATTTTTATTAGAGGTTGAGTTCAATTTCAACACTCCAAAAATTTAAATAGCAATGTAGAATCTCAACTTTAAAGAGTAAGACTTAATATAAAAGAAATATTCCTAATTCTAAATATAAGATGAAGAGAATTATATAACAGAACAACGGTATCTTCTTCATTTGCATTAAATTGCACAAAGAAAAAAATTATTAGTAAAAGAAAGGAATAAAATAAAAAAAGAGGAAGCTGAAACTTTGAAATACGATTAATAGATGAATACTAGATATTATTCATAAACTGAAAGTTTCAATTATTTAAATATTGAAAATGCAATATCAATGTTAGATAAGAGAATTGAATTATAATAAATTAAAAAAGATAGAACTTAATTAATACTGAAAAATAAAATAAGGGAATAAATTGAAGAAGAATTGAAAATATTGAATGAGAATAAAGCTTAAGAATAAGAAAATTTACGGGTTAAAAAATTAAGAAAGCAAAATCTTAAAGCTATTAGTGATAGAGCTCATTCTTTTAATTAAAAAACTCAATAAGTTGCAAAAAAACATTAAGAATCAATTTAATATGAATAAGAAAAGGCATTTGAAAAATAAAAAGAAATTCTTTAAAAAGATAAACTAGAGTAAAAATTCTATTATTTTTAGATTAGATGATTCAGAAAGAGGATTATATCAAAATTAAATTAAATAAAAAGAAAAAGAGCTGAAAGAATTACTTAAATAAAAATAAATAAATGATAGAATTAAATAAATCAAATAATAAGAGATTGAATAATGCAATTAATTATATACAAAGATTCAATCTAAATTAAATAAATCTCAAATTAATAGACTAAGTTTATTAGACAACAACAAAACTTCTATTTTATAAATTACTTAATCTCATTAAAAAGTTGAAGAATCATAAAAATTTTTAGAAAAATATATTTAAAAGTAAACTAAATATATAAATAATTCAAAAGAGTCTTAAAGATAATTAACAAAATTAAAAAAGCGAAAAAATATCAAATAACAATTTAATTAAGAAAAATAAACAAACTATACAAAAATAGAGGAAACCTACCCTGAAAAAAAGAGTTCAAAGTATTCTCCTCAATTAAATAAAAAAAATAAGTCTCGAAGTTTAGTGAACTTAGATAAAATAAATCTCTAGTAATTAGAAAAAGTTAATAAAGTTCTTGAAAAATAAAGATCAAGCAGCATTTTATAATCTTAAATAAATGAAAGAAAATAAATTCTTAGAGAAGCAAGCAAAAGTAATTTTCATCAAAGAAATCAATTCTAAGAACTATAGAATGATTTATCGAAGATCAAAAATAATGTTTCAAAAGAATTTTTGTTTAAATAAATTTCTAAATGGGATTGCTTAGATTTAATAAATAAATATTATAAATGAAATAAATTAAGATTGATTTTTATATTATTAAATATTAAGCTTGGCTAGATTTGATCACTTATAAAAATAATTATCGAATGTTTAGTTTTAATTGGTGATTCTTTACAAAAATATATGGATATTATATAGATTGAACAATAATTTAATAATTTATTTCTCTTTAGCTTGTTAATAAATTAAATAAATCCTTTTATCAAAATATAGACTTTATGTTATCTCAATCTAAAATTAATCGAATATTATTAACTATATAATCATGAAATATTGAATTATGATTTATGAAATTAAGAAGTAAACTATTCCTCAAAGATATAACACAATTATTATTTAATATTAGTTATAAATTAAAGCTAAAGACTAAAGTTGAATTATATTTTTAATTATCAACATTTACAATAATGATGATATCAATATGATTAATTTGAATCAAATGAATTTTTTCTAAATTATTCGACAGGTGAGTCAAATTATGCATTCTTTTGATAATCATCATCCATATCACATACACTTAAATTTAACTTTCCTTATTTAAAGTTTTCAATTTATTCTTCTTGATCACTATTCCATTCCATAGAATTATCTAATTTATTAATTTAGAATATTACTTAATGATTATTATCTCTAAATATGATTTTTCTATTTATTTAACATCAGCGCTTCTCCTTTCTATTCAAATAATTATGGCTTACAAATATCTTTAATTTACTTCAAATCCGCGATTACAATTTCTAACGCCTTTGAAGCAATAAAATGAGATTGTTCAATTTCGTCAATCATTTTATTTAATGATTGTTGAGCTTAATCATATTTTTTAATTTTTGCCAATTCCTTTGCAGTTCCAATGATAGTACCAGCCTTTGCCCTCAAATAATTAACTTCTACTATCTCCTTCGGTTAATATGGGATTTCTTGTAAAGAAAACTAAATTTTTAGTTCTTATTATTTTGTAAAATTTGTTTTCAGTTCTAGAAATTCTCCTGCTAAATTTGTTCTTAATACTATCTCATTTTATTAATTAATCTTGTCACTTGGTGGTATTTCTATCTCCAAAGCAAATTCCTTATTCTCACCTTCTAATAAATAATTCATATTCATTAAATATTTAGACCCTTCAATTTTATGCCAAAGAAAATCATCTCCATAGAGTTTCTTTATAGGATACTTAGGATTTTCTTCAATTATGAATTTAACATTTTTAGCCAAAACAGATAACATTCCACTCATTGCCAAAATAAAATGTTCGGAAGCCTAAAATTTACACTAATAGATTACTTTAGAAATATTTTCAATAAATGTGAATGTTCCACCTTTTAAATTTGATATGTTATTCATAACCTTTGCGTCATGATCCTATCCATATCCAAAAGTATTTATAACGAAGGTATCTTAAATTTGGTATTCATTAATAGCTTATGAACATCTGTCGTCTGCTCCTTTGTTATCATCTTAACCATCTGTTAACACAAACATGCAAGTTACTGGGTTTTTTTATTTTCTCTATTTTATCATTCTTAATCCTAGTTTCACACCATCTGCAATATTTGTAGAGTCTCTGATTTTCATCCCTATAATTGCATCTTTAATTTTTTATTTGTTTTCTGGTTTATTGAGTGTCCAAGGTAAATTGATGGCTGAATAAGTACCAAATGTTACTAATGCAATTCTAATATTATATATAAACAAGATACCTATCATTTGGACTCAAAATCTTTTAGATATATCTTAATGAATCTTTTACAAGGCCAATTTTATTACCTTCCATAGATCCACTAACATCTACGACACAAATTAAATCAATGTTTGCTTTGGCATGCTTTAATTGCGATTTTATTGCTTAAACTTATAATATCACTGGTAAAATTTAAGGAAACTAACTTAATGTAACCACATCTTATCTAGCTATCATATTGATATTAATCCTCTCTATGGTTTCTCCTACTTTTGCATCAACATCGATTTGCTGATCTTAATGTTCAACTATAACTTGCTATTCTACAATTGCATCTTCAAGTTATTTAGCTGTCTCTTCATCTATGAGTTAAAATTTATAACCATTTGGAGGAGGAACTTATGCTGTGGATTTTAAATGAACTTATGGAGGTTATTATTATTAATTAGCTAAATATAACTTCTAAATAGGTACAATTAGACTGATTTGAGGACTTATTTTTTTTTGAATTACTTGATGACTTAGATGAACTTGAATTATTTCCCATATTTTTTTAATGAAATAATTAATTTCATGGAATTTATATAGACATTTTCTGATAATTTCTAAAAATTTTGATATCATACAAATCTGACAATCAACATTACTGAGCATGTTCAAAATACCATTATAAAAACGAGTCTAACAAAATAGGGATAGATTAATAAGATTTTATTTAAATGGCTGAAAATTTAATATATTAAAATATAGAATGTTAAAACTCTATTGATGAGTTTAATCCTTGATACAAGTCTTAAAAATACAACTAAAAGGATTTTTTGTAAAAAATTATGCTGCTATAGGTTCTCTTTTATAGTACGTTTTTGACCTAAAGAAAAAAAAGTTTATCAATACTTCTATTGATCACTAACTAATTTAAAATGACGGCTGTATCAATAGTGAAATTAATAAAGAATTATTCATTTATGTTAAAACTAATATTTTTGAAAAACATTAATATCTATGGGTAAAATATTCATTAATCATTTGTTTAAAAATTAATGTAGAAGATAAAAACAAAAACTCTAGTTACAATATTATAAGAAATATTATTATATAATAGTATTTATTATATGATTTAAATTATTTAGCTATAAAAAATGATATTTTAAGTAGATTCGTCTTAGAAATATTAAATAAAAGCCTTATTTTGAGTGGATATAATTGTATTTGTAATTTTTATTGAATGAATTCAATTTATAAAAATTAATTTAAATGCTATAAGAGGAAGTATAAAAAAAAGTCCGATTCGAAGATGAAGAAGAGGAATAAGAAAAAAAGAGCGATGAAGAATTAATTAGAAACCCAAATAATCAGAAATGCCCAATTATAGGAGTAAATGATTAATTTTTAGATCCATGTAATAAAATTAGGTTATGAAAGATGCTGTTAAGACATCACTAAAGGAGGAAGAAGCATTAGAATTAGAAAATGAAATCGTATAATATACTATTTCTGAAGGAATCACTGCTGAAGAATTAATATAAAATTTAGAGATTAAATTATATCCAGAACGTGAACCAATTAAAAAGAATAATAGTAATATAAAATAATTAATTATCAGTTGTTCCAGCAGTGCTATCGTTAAAAACGAAAAAGATTTAAACTAAAATCAATAGGCCTCCAATTGATTTAGTATGTGTGGTTGATGTGAGTGGCAGTATGATTGGGAGAAAAATCAATTTAGTAAAGGACTCATTGAGATATTTAATGAAAATATTAGGTCCTGAGGATAGAATCTGCATTATCGTATTTACTACTGTAGCTCACATAGTTACTTCTTTTATTAGAAATACACAAGAGAACAAGCCTTTATTAAAAAAAGCAATTCTAGAATTAAAAGGCCTAGCTTCAACAAATATAAGTGATGGGATGAATAAGGCTTTATGGATGTTAAAGAATAGGAAATATAAAAACCCTGTTTCTTGCATATTTTTATTATCTGATGGTTAAGATGACTATAAAGGAGCTGAATAGAGAGTATTTGATCAATTAGAAATTTTAAAAATCGAGGACAAGTTTGTAATTCATACATTTGGGTATGGATAAGATCATGATGCTTATGTAATGAATCAAATTGCAAAATATAGAGAAGGAAATTTTTATTATATTGACAATATTAATAAAGTAAATTTCAATTAACAATTAATAGGCTAGTGATTATTTCATACTTGCAATGAGTGGAATGTTATCAATATATGCTTAGAATGTTATCATTAACTTATAATCAAAGGATTGTGAAATAGTAAAAGCTTATGGTGAAGGACAAGTATGGTATAAATAAGACTCGAATAATTATAAGATATAATTAAATTATTTACTTGAAGGAGAGAGTAAAGATTTTGTATTTGAAATGTTTTTGAATGAGGATTGCAATTAAAATAGTATTACTTTGAATGTTGAAATAAATGGATAATTACTTAAATAAAATTAAGAATTTAAAAAGGAATTAAATTTTTAGATTAATGTATCATCAGAAGAGGAGGGTTAATTAAATGAACATGTTGAAATTAATTATTAGAGAGCTAAGGCAGGGCATGCTATTGGAGAGGCATGCCATTTAGCATAATAAAAGTAATATTAACCAGCTCAAGAATTAATTGAGAAATAAATTTAGGTAGTAAAATCATCTCCACATTTTGAAAATCTTGCTTTGAAGATTGCTTTGGAGGACTTAGAAAAATGTAAAATGTATTGCAAACCAAAAATATTTGAGATGGAAGGTGAGGCATTTTTAATGAAAAAAGAACGAAATCATATTGTCAGATAATCTTCATTAAGTATTAGTTTGATTAATTATGCAATTAGCCAATCTTTGTGATTGGAATGATGATTAATAATAAAATATGGAGCATTTATAAAATGGAGATTTATAATTAAGTGCTGCTGGAAGTTTAAAAGGTTCTGATTCAGAGGTTTCTTCTTAACCAGATTTTTAAAGAGATATTGATTTTGATAATTTTGATCCAAAATTAATCATTAAGTAGTTGCTAAAAATGAAACAATTTAAAAAAGAATAACTTGAATTGGAAGAAGAAGATGATGATGAAAAAATTGATTAATTAAAAGAATAATTACAATAGGATAAATAAATAGAGATTGAAGAATAAGAATAAGAAGGTCTAATTTAGATTTAATGAAATAATTTAATATAAAAAATAATTCTTATAATGTCTGAGTAAATACAAGAATATAAAGCTTGTTGGAAGTAAGCAGTTGATGCAGCAGAAAAAGAATTAGATTAGCTTTATAACTAATTTCTTTAGAATGATTGTGAACTACTCAAAGAGAATTAGCAAAGTTTAAATTAACAAGAGTAATCAAATATCAACTAATTAGGGTTATGGGGATGAAGAATAAATAAAATTAGATTCAAAATGAGCCTCATCCTTTGGATAATAATAGTGACGAAGAAGAAGACCAGCAAGATTAGAATGGTCATTAATCAAATATAGCTACATCTACAACCAAAGAAGACTTTGTAGTGAATTAAGAAATTAAAAGAGAACTAATAAGGGAAGTGCCATTTAAGGATGAAACACTATATATATATAGAATTAATTATTAGAATGGAGATGTTTATGAAGGAGAGTTATTGAATGATTTAAAGGATGGATTAGGTACATATTATTATGAAAACGGTGAAAAATTTGATGGGTTATTTTCAGAAGATCTTATTCATGGATACGGAAAATATTACTTTATTGGTGGTCATAAATATGAGGGGGATTGGTATTAAGGAGAAAAATCTGGAATGGGAATTTTAGATTTTAGCACAGGAGACAGATACATAGGTGGGTTTTATAAAGATGCATTTGACGGAGATGGTATATATTTATAAAAATAGATAGGAACTTTTGAATACAAGAATGGAGATGTTTTTAAAGGAAAATGGAAGAAAGGCAAGAAGAATGGTCAAGGAGAGATGAGATACAAAGATAAAAGAGTTGTTATAGGGGAATGGATTGATGATGAATTATAGCCATTTTGATATAATTTACTGTCAAATCAGACTTTTTAAATAAATATCGACATTTTATCATCCTCTCTTTTTAATTTCTAATATCAATTCATCGTTAAGCTCATATGTTTCAGACTTGATCTTTCTATGAAGCAAATGTTAATTATCAATTCTTTTAATATTATCTTATTTAACCTAATTATTACAGTATTATTACTGTAGCAACACAATGAATCAGATTTAGAGATTGAAGCAATTCCTGAGTGCCAAAGGCTAAAGGAGTATAATTATCATTGTTCAATATGTTAAGATTACCATTTCTATTGATGAATTCGATTATTATTTATTAATTTCCTGAAAGGAAAGCCATGTGAACAGGAGTATTCCCATTAGAACATACTTAATTGACATCTGCTCCTATTTTTAATAAGAATTTAGTCATTTATTCATCTCCATATTTAGCACTATAATATAAAGGAGTGTTTCCATTTTAATCATATAGTTCAGTATCAGCTTTACTATAATGGAACCCAGCTGCTTCAGCAATAGCAAGATTCTTCATTTTTGCTGCCTATATTAATTTTCTATTTTTTATTTTTGCCTCTCCATCTAGTCTGGTTCTAACAAATTTATTAAGTAATTTTTATCTTTATTTTTCATTGGTTTCTCTTTTTTATAAATCAGACTACAATAAATATTAAAATATACTTATTTAATGATACGACTACTTACTAATGAGATTTCAGTAGTTTTATGTTTGCTCAATCGATTTATTTATGGTGATGTAGGTGTAGAACCAGGAATAAATACTACTTTGTCCATTGGCAATTTAGGAGGAGAATGTTGAGTTATATCCTTTAATCTTTCATTTTATTAATTATTTAATTCTTTATGTAATTCTTCAAAAAATCTTTTAGCTTTCATACACTTTTATATTCTCTATTCTATATCTATGCTTTTTAATTGTTCTTTTTTTTCTAATACTTTAAAAAACTTCTTTTTATATAAAAATCTCTTAATTGCCATTTTTATTTTATTTGCTGCTTAAACTTCAATTTCATCTGTAATCCATTATTATTAACTTGGTAATTCAAGCTCTTAATTATCATTTAATCCTTTCAATTTTTAACTTTAAAATTATCTGCATGTTTATGGTCCTCCACTATAAAATTTCATAAATTCATTTTAACTAATATTATAATTTCTTATTCCTAATCTATAACTTTTACTCCATTTTATTATTTTTTCTTTTTAATATTATTGAAACTTTTCTTCTGGATCCAATGTAAGTAATTTTGATGGAGGATGAAATATATGTTTTATTTGCTCTAATTAAAATTCATCTTGACCTTTTATAAATAATGGCTTAAATGTTTATTTTGAAGTGTTTCTTTCTAAAAAGTTTTATTATTTTATTTTTTCAGTTCCTTTTCTCTTGATTATTGATTATATATACTTCTCTATATTTTCTCACAATTCCTAGCATGATTTCCTTAAATTTTTAAACATATATGTTAGCTAATGGGTTTCCTGAATTTTTAAGTTTTCTCAGAGCACTCTATTTTTTATGGTCAAAAGCTTCTTTTAAAAACTTTTTTTTTTAAGCTTCTTTTAAATACTAAACAAATTTTCCTTTAATCACTCTAATTTATAAAGAATCCTTTGAGAAATGTTAATATCTCTCATAATTTTTTGTGTTTTCAGCTTTAATAATATATATGATTTTACTTATTTATTATCTTTTTTTTTTATTTAATTCTTCAAAATATTTGTTTCTAATTTTTACTTAATTTTCTTTAATGAAATAAAAATTTTAGAGTATTTATTCAGAAATATTCAATTCAATTTGATGTTTAACCTAATTAATAATAATTAATACATTATCTTCTAAACAATTAATAGCTCTTTATATAAAATCTCTATCTATACATTTATTTATCAAGAAACTAGTTGAAGCTATATATTATAGTTCTTATTCTGTAATATAATTACCAGTTTATTAACATTTATTTAATATTTTATCTCGTTTTTTTGAATGAATTCCATTTGCTAATTATTTTTTTATAGTTTCATAACCCATTAAATGCATATTTTTACCTGTACTTATATATCCATCCTCTATGGCTTTATTCCATTCAAAAAACAATTCTGGAGGAGAATATTAAAGTTCAGGAACATTTAGAATAAGTTTTTTATCAGTATTCACTTAGATTCTAGAAGTGTATTAAGTAGATTATTCTTTACTGTCAATATTATTAGTAGTATGGATGAAACTTACTTATTAGGAATTAATTTTAGATTTGGATGATAGAAAATTATTAACTTTTTTAAAATTGTTAGATGTTTAGATCAAATCGACTAATGCAAATTTCAATCTTTTCAAAATAGATTTATATTGAGATTTGACTTATAACCAACCATATAAATCTAATTGATCATCATTTTTATTGGAATGTCTTTCAGTATTTGAATTAATGTTATATTTGGATAGAATGTCTATTTAAAATCAAGAAATACTATCAAATTATGAAGAAATCTAATTAACACAACACTTAATAATATAATCCTATTTATCATCTATTCTTGTAATATTTCTTAATTCATTAAAATCAATTCCTGATTCCTAACAGATTGCATGGTATTTCTATTTTAAAGGTTTGTTTTTGTTAGATTTTTTGATTAGTTTCTCAAATAATATGCATAAATCTTCAACTTTATTTTATCTTACAGTAATTGTGTTTCTTCTTTTTATCTATCTAAATGAGTTTTATTTTTAGATGATTGCAAAGCGTTCTTCGATTTATTGTTATGACATAAGGTTACAAAATTCTTTATTTTCATTATCTGTATAATGTCTTGCAGAGAAACATTTAGTTTTCATTGTGATAATATAAAAATGATAATAGTAATAACTGATATAATTAGATTGGAAATCATATTAAATAAATTAATGTTTAATAATATATTACCAAAACACAAATAAAATAAAGAATCAGAATCTAATATGGGTTTCTTTGGATAAGATTGTAAGATGTAATAAACTAAGCAAATTAAAAAATTAAAAATTGATGTAAAGTGCATGTTAAATTAAGAATAATTAGTTATGAAACCTAATAAACTAGGTAAATAATGAAAAAATTAATAATAGACTAATAAATACCAGATGTAAAAGTTGAATATTCCTTTTATGTTGATTAAAAGTAAAATATTCATAATAAGAAAGATATTTGAATGAGATTCAAGTACTATAAGACAATTTCAATACATAAGAAAATGTTGTTCAAATCATAGCAGTATGTTCTCTAGGAATTAAAATACCAAATGATTAAGATTTTCATTTCTTTTTTGAATGCTTTGATTTACTTAATCAGAATTAAACAAAGTTTCGCTAATTTATTAATAATAAACCACAAAAACAATTGCATAGATTGTTAATTTGTTCAATAATTATGAAACTATAAAAAATGACTGATATTATCATAGGATTATATGTGGATTTAAATCTTTATGTTCTAATGTAATTGACATTAATTACAATCTAATATGAATGTATGGAATATTCATAATACTTTTATTCGTATTTATCTATTTAATTTCTAGTTTGTTAATATAATATTTTCAATTCTAAGCTGGAGTATATTAAAAATAGATTACTGATCCTTATTTATAGAAATTAATTATGAATGTTGCTTAAGTGCAAATTTAGTAAATTAAAGAAGATGTTCTATTAATTACATGGGGATAAAAATAATTACAAATAGGAACATTATTCTTTAAAAGTTTGTATAAGAAGATTGAGAATCGTAAGAAACCCTTTTTGCAACCTTTATAGAAATATTAATTTTATAAGACTTTTAGAAAAAGAACAACTACATCTCCAAATACTGATTATCCTCATTATTATTAGTTATTAGATGAGGCATAAGGAAAATAGTATTTAGTTGCTTATTAAGAATCACCTCATAGTGAGATATTGATTTTTGAAAAAGATGTAAAAATTGTAATTATAATGTTGCAGTAATTATAATATATCAAATATTCAGAAGAATATGTGGGAGTTATAGAAAGAAATTTCTGGGGAACTGTGTTTCACATTTATGATTATGGATATCCAAAAGAAGCTGCTGGAAAGATTCCTAAATATTTTGGATAAGAAAGAAGAGAATTAGCTGTCATTTAATATTAAACTAATATTATGGCAACATAACCAAGGTAATTATAAGTATATTAATTAGAAAATTTACTGCAANAAGCAAATTAAAAAATTAAAAATTGATGTAAAGTGCATGTTAAATTAAGAATAATTAGTTATGAAACCTAATAAACTAGGTAAATAATGAAAAAATTAATAATAGACTAATAAATACCAGATGTAAAAGTTGAATATTCCTTTTATGTTGATTAAAAGTAAAATATTCATAATAAGAAAGATATTTGAATGAGATTCAAGTACTATAAGACAATTTCAATACATAAGAAAATGTTGTTCAAATCATAGCAGTATGTTCTCTAGGAATTAAAATACCAAATGATTAAGATTTTCATTTCTTTTTTGAATGCTTTGATTTACTTAATCAGAATTAAACAAAGTTTCGCTAATTTATTAATAATAAACCACAAAAACAATTGCATAGATTGTTAATTTGTTCAATAATTATGAAACTATAAAAAATGACTGATATTATCATAGGATTATATGTGGATTTAAATCTTTATGTTCTAATGTAATTGACATTAATTACAATCTAATATGAATGTATGGAATATTCATAATACTTTTATTCGTATTTATCTATTTAATTTCTAGTTTGTTAATATAATATTTTCAATTCTAAGCTGGAGTATATTAAAAATAGATTACTGATCCTTATTTATAGAAATTAATTATGAATGTTGCTTAAGTGCAAATTTAGTAAATTAAAGAAGATGTTCTATTAATTACATGGGGATAAAAATAATTACAAATAGGAACATTATTCTTTAAAAGTTTGTATAAGAAGATTGAGAATCGTAAGAAACCCTTTTTGCAACCTTTATAGAAATATTAATTTTATAAGACTTTTAGAAAAAGAACAACTACATCTCCAAATACTGATTATCCTCATTATTATTAGTTATTAGATGAGGCATAAGGAAAATAGTATTTAGTTGCTTATTAAGAATCACCTCATAGTGAGATATTGATTTTTGAAAAAGATGTAAAAATTGTAATTATAATGTTGCAGTAATTATAATATATCAAATATTCAGAAGAATATGTGGGAGTTATAGAAAGAAATTTCTGGGGAACTGTGTTTCACATTTATGATTATGGATATCCAAAAGAAGCTGCTGGAAAGATTCCTAAATATTTTGGATAAGAAAGAAGAGAATTAGCTGTCATTTAATATTAAACTAATATTATGGCAACATAACCAAGGTAATTATAAGTATATTAATTAGAAAATTTACTGCAAGTATGTTAAATTTAATTGATAATTAAATTGTACAATTAGCATAGATGGACCCTGTTTATAATGAAGAGAAGGAATGTTATTAATTAAATTTCTTTGGAAGAGCAAAAAGAGCATCAGCCAGAAATTTTGAGATTATTGATCCTCAAGATTAGAATATTATTTATTTATTACATGGGAAGGTATAATGTTGATCATTATAAATAATAAAGTGGGAGAAGAACCTATTTAATGTAGATTACAGATTTCCAATGAGTATGCTCTAAGCTTTTTGTTTTTCTTTGAGCTCTATTAGTAAGAAATTCTTGGTTTAATGAAATTATTATGTATATTTAAAATTATAAAAGAAAGAATAATTATTTAAAGATTATAACAATTACATTTATTAATTAATTAAGTTCAACCCAAAATTGATGCTTCTTAGACTTCCAATTATTTATTTACATTTTTTTAAACTTTTAAAATTTGACTAATAGTCTAATTGTTTATTTTAGTTAATTACTTTTCTGCATAAGTAACATTCATTTGATTTTTATATCACATCTTCAGCACATTATTAACATATTCCTCCATGACGACATGGTATAAAAACTATATTTGGTAAATTTTCATAACAAACAAGACATTTTTCTTAACCCACACTAGATTCACCATCAGATTTAATAGATTTTATAGACTTAACTGGTTCTTCTTCTTATTCTTATTTTGATACAGTAACTGAAATTTCTTCTTTTTTTATTTTGACTAATTTATAATCATATAATACCATTATCAGTAATAGCAGGTTTTTATATTTCTAAATCAATGTCAGTCTATTTTTTATGAATAATCATAGAATTGCTAACTACTGGTTTTTAAAGTATTTTCTTCCAAGTTTCTCTCATTGTCTAACCCTAAAGATTTGATCTACCAGACTCTAATTCTTAATGAGACTTTTATTTTTTTTTAAATTCGAAAGAAGCTTTGTCAAGAACAGCAAAGTAAGTACAAGATAATTTAATTAAATATAAAGGGATCCCTAATTTAACGAATTCTAATTTCTTAGTTTAATGTGGAGAATTTAGTTATCTAGAATTCGGAGAGTTTATTGTTTATTATTAATCAATATCATTTTAATCTGAGATTCCTTAAACATCTTTTAAGTAGGCTCTAATAATATATATATATATTTACTTAATTTATCTATAAAAACAGAGAGTAAATATAAGAAGAAATAAAGAAAATAAAGTGATGACTACTACATATTGAGCAGTTTCAGTAAGACTAATTAATTGATTTCCTTCATAAAATTCAGCTGTTCTTAAAATAAACAAAAAAGGGAATAATGTAAATCCTATAAGCATTATAAATATCCATATATTGCCTGCCACTAAAGAAAAGAATTATATATACAGTAATGACATTGTTACTTCTTTTTGATGATATTAACTAAAGTTTCTATACAACTAACCAAAGATATAAATAATAATAATGCGCAAACTACAAGGAATACCCAAAACAATAGAAATATCTAGATCCATGACCAAGAGATCTTTGATTCCCATTTAAGTGTTATCAATAAGAGTTAAAGACAACACATAGTTTTTAAGAATTATAAAATCTAAATATATTTATAATGATATTACTAAAGCAGTACTAGTTTTTGTTGGAGTTTTAATTTTTTAGACTAGTTTCATAATCAATAACAAAGATGAAACTGCTAACATCATAATAGTAATAAAATAAATCTTGAATGCTTAAACTTCATAATAAAATACAATAAAGATCTATTAAAATATTGATGAATACCTTAAAGAAGAATAAAAACATAGTTTCTATAAGTTACCAAATGCAATCATCTCCTTTTCTATAATTATAATATATCAGAATAAAAATTGTTATTAAGTCCTATATCCACAATTATAATAGCACATATCGATGACTATATTTCCAATGCATATAAGTAAAATAATTAACAAAAAATGCTTATAGGAATAAGTTGAACATAAGAGACTTAATCATTTAAGCATGACAAGAAATAACCTAATTTGTATTTTGAATACCTTGTCATCAGTAAGTGTAATAATGCTGTTTGAATAATCTTGTTCTCTGTTTTATACTTATCTCGATTGTCTATATTCATTTTAAAACTGTATACAATTCCCTAAAAAGGGGTAGATTTTAACTAAATGTTGGAGATAAAAAATTTCTTCTTTGAGTTGAAACTTATTAATCGTCTTCTATCTGAATTTAGGAAGGTCTCATCCTAACCGATCCTAATTATGATTCTGGCATTTAGCTATCATTCAAAATATTTATTACATCATAGTTTTTAAGAAAATATAGTTTATTAATCAATATAAATTCAAAAATACCAACTTTATTTTCTCATTCTCATAATTATAACTAAATTTATGACAATATTACTATTATTAAACTTATTGATATTTAATATATTCAATTATAATAACATCTTTATATTTAGAAGATCTACCATATTAAAATTTCATTTCGTAATCAATCTTGTTTATTTAAAGTTCTAAAATGCTATAAAAAAGAATTTTCAATTAGGTTGTTCTTATATATTAGAATTTCAATTTACTTTATTTCAGTAGCAATATATGTTAAAGCATTCTTTATTTATCCAAATTAATTAATATAATTTAAATAGTTAAAATTGTTTATTATAGATATAGTAAACTGAATAATATTAAAATTTTCAAAAAATCTTTTAATGTAGATTTAGATTCTGACTAATATTTATCATTCATAAATTAAATTCTCAATTAAATAATGATAAATATAATTTTAATAATGACAAAATATAAAGATTATTGATATAATAATTAATTCATGTAATCTAATAAAAGATTTCCATATTCAAATTATCTATATAAATATCCAAATTAAAAAATGATGAATTATTTCAAGATTTACATCTACCTTTATATTTGATACATATATTAATAGTATATAAAACATCAGAGATTTTTAAATATGTATTTTTAGAATAGTTTGAATTTGTAATCTGCAATTGATAATAATATAAATTAATGATTAAAAAGCAGGGTAAGGACTATAAATTACCATTAAGTAAAAGTGACGATATATTGTTTGTTCATGGAGTAGATTAAGAAAAGCAATAAAATTTACGTGAATCACAATTAAGAAAAAGCAGTTTATATGACATTGCATTATAGATACCAAATGAATAATAAAATAGAAGGAACTCCCATAATTCCATTACATTTAATAATGAGAATTAAAAAGTGAAGTTGCTGTATGTATTTATTTTAAAAAATTTCAGTCATACAAAGAAAAAAATACTAACTTAGATTGCTTAATATGGATTTAATGCTTATATGGCAGAATATATAATTTAGAAATAAAAGATTTCATTGGAATAAGATTATTAGGTTGTATTGGATTTAGTAATTGAAAAAATTCATTAATTTGAGGAACAATACAAATCTTGTTCTGGAATATAAATACAAAAAGCTTCTTATAAATAAGTTGTTCCAATATCAATTGATGAATAATAATAAATAGATTAATTTATAGTTGAAGAAACTAGATAAGAATTAGAAAAAGATTCAAAATATAATAATGATTATTGTGGTATTTGTTTAGGTGAATACAAAAAAAAATAGAAAGCATTGAATTGTAGACATGAATTCTGTTATGAGTGTTTATAATTTTATTTAGATAATAAAATAAATAATGGTTAAGTTTTGGAAATTGAATGTCCATAATAAGGATGTGATAATTATTTTAATGATGAGGCAATAAAGAATTTAATTAATGATGAATAATATCAAAAATTTGAAAAATTCAAGAAACAAAAATTATTAGATAGAGATGAAACTATTAGATGGTGTGTTAGACCAGGATGTGATAAATATATAAAGGGAAAAAGTATGTTTAGTAATACTATAAAATGTGAATGTGGATAAGAAATTTGTTATGAATGTCGTAGAGAAGATCATCCAGGAATGACATGTGAAGTATATATATTTAATTAGAAAATTAGTAAGCATTAGATAAATATTATGAATTAACATTAAAATAATTAGTTATACAACGTTGTCCAAAATGTAAAGCACCAATTTAAAAGAAAGAAGGGTGCAATCATATGACATGTTATTAATGTAGATTTCAATTTTGTTGGTTATGTAGAGCAAGATACACAAGAATGCATTTTGATTCAGATAATTGTTTTGGATGTCCAGGTAATAGAATTAAAAGTTATAGAGAGATAAATAATTTTCTAATGATGAACCACATTCTCGACCTAGATGGAAGAAGTATGGAGGAATCATTTTCGAATTATTTGCCACTATATTAATTCTACCCATAATTCCATTTATCTTGATTTATTATAGTGTGATGGCTCCGTTGAAAATAGTTAAACATTTTAATAGACAATGGTATAGAGAATTAGAAGATGGAGATAAACTATGTTTACTCTTACTTGGAATATTCTTCTTCCCTGCAATTATGGTGTTGTTGATCTGTCCAGGATTACTTCTGCTATTGGCCTATAAAATTAAATATGATTGATTATAATTAAATCGTACTCATATCTAACATTCTTTGTTTCACAGTAATCTTATAATTATCAAAAAGGATAATGTTAAAATTAACAGAAATTATGGATTCGACATGTAACTTTTGTGAATATCAATATGTACATAAAACACTAAATTAGGACTTTGCAGTCATTATCAAAAAGGCACTCTATGAAAAGTATTCATCTTCCCAGAATTATACTTACATTCGAATCATTAATGATCTAATTTTTGCTCGTAGAAGTCGAATTACTAATAAATTTAAAGACTATCTCTTTTGGGATTACCATGATGAGTATATGGAGAACTACTTTCATTCTCCATTTAATATACTTTTTGATACTATTCATTTCAATGTATTGGTTATAACTTAAAATAGACCATTAGTCCCAAAAATTTGTGCCCCGCATATTTCATACTCCTATAGCTTAAACCATGGATAATTACTACAATCCTAAAATTCGATAATCTCGAAAATACTCAAACATAAATTCCATTAGCGTTTCAAAAATATTACAAAGTAGTCTTCTCTAAAAGTATCCTATTCATTTATATTTCAAGATAATAATAATATAGTTCATAAGGATCCATCTTTTTTATCAAAAATTAACTTAATGATATTGTTACCAATAGTTCATTATCCTTTCATACTAATAATAAGTATCTATTATAATTATTCTAGTAATTAAGAAGTTGGTGTCTAACTTAGATTGATCTATTAGAAATTCTGTGAAAGAAGACAAGAAATAAAAAAATAGAAATAGAAAAAGAGAAGTTAAGCTCATTCAATTGATAAAGAAACTCAAACTTAAGGATTTCAATTTATACCTATCATTTATCACAAAGATAAATAATTTCTATAAAAGATCATCAAATAATAAAAGGAAAAAGAATCTACATAAATTTAGTTTTTAAAATTGAACAAATAAAATAAAACATAAAAATATAGAAATAGTGTAGAAATCAATAATAATAGATATGGTTCTGCATCTAAAATATCACAATAATCAACTGCTAGAGTCATTGAATCATATGCTTCAAGTAGATATAATTCGACTGCTACTTAATAAAAAATTATTCGATCATAGCGTACAAAATCTTAAACTCAAGATTCAAATAACATAACTAAAGCATTAGAAAGTTAATTCAATAATTAAATTGATATTAAGTAAACATTAAAGAGGGTTGATAGTGGAATTAAATAACAAAAAGTTAAATGAACTACCTTTTATATTTTTTATTATATTTCTAAATAATAAAATATTCAAAACTTATTATTTTATATCCTTATATATATATATAGAAGACATTTATACAAAAATAAAAATGATAATATAACATATGGCTATACATATATTATTAATTAAATTAACATATTTTAATACAATATTAAAAATACATAATGTAATAACCATCTTAATTATAATAATCTTCATGGTCTAATAATGACGAAGTAACTGTACTATAATTTAGAATGACTTAGAACAAAATGCAGATGGCAATTAAAGCAAACATTAAGAAGGATCAAGAAAAAAGAAGAAGCATGATGAGCATAAGCAATTCGAAGAAAGATTGAAAAATATTCCTGTTGGATAAAAACCTGATCCTAAAGTATATCCAGAAGAATGGATTAATAAGTGGAGATAAATGTTGCTAAAATAACAAAATAAGAAATGACATTTATAAAATTATATAAATATGGGTTGTTGCTAAACTAATCCTAATGATATCTATAATACTTCTTAATTTTGAATTCAATGAATTAAAGTTGAAATCAATTCATATCTATTACATACTTTAAAAAAAATTAAATATTATCAATAACTAGTACACTTTATTCAAATTTCAAACAAATCAAAAATTAGGTTAAAAGGAATCTTGATACAAAAGGAAAATTGTTGAAAAATAAGAAGAGTAATAAAACTATGCATATATTATTAAATCAATAATGGGATAGATTAATTATGGAAATGTTTATTAATGTATTTATCAAATTTTTGGTTCTTTTTATCAATATAAAGTATTTTTAGAACCATAAAGCAAATAAAAACTATATATTAAAAAAGAAGAGCAAAAACTACTAAAAACACAAAAATTAACTTAAAAGAATGAAGATTTAAGATAATAAGATTATCAAATTATTTTGTTCTCTTTAATAGAAAATATAAAGAAATTTAAAGTATTTATATAGTTATTAAAAGTATAAGTATAATTCATTAATAACCCTATTATTTTGATGTTTCATATTCTAGAAGTTTTGGATTAAAAAAAGAAAGATATTAAAAAAGTGATAACTTATATTAATTTTTGGTTATAAATAGAGGGAATCAATTGCAGATAATAGTAAACGTATTTTTATAAGTATCCTTTATCTTGATTGAAATATGAATATGAGGAAAAACTAAGAAATTATGATAAAATTGTGGTAAAAGTGAATATTATGTTGTTATATCACCAAATCAAAATTAATGAGGTTCTCCTTAAGTTGGTAATAATCCAAATCTCTTCTTAAGTTCTACTCTGTATTTCTAATTTAGATCATCAGGACTAAATCTAGCTGATTAATAGATAATTTAAAATACCAGGATGAGCATTAAAAGTATACGAACCATCCTCAAGTGTATTCTTTAAAGTGTAAACACGTTTACCTTCTTCATTCAAATAATACCTCAAATGCATTTTTATTAATTTTTTATTATAAATTAATGTTTGTTATGTATATAAGTATAAAGAGTGATAACTAAAAGATATTAATTAAT